ATGATGCTAAATCAAAGCTAACATTCCTTCATTTAGATAAGATGACGGATCAGTGTATATACTGTTGGAGAACAGAGCGTCTCTCAAATTCTTTTCGCGAGATTTTCCCTGCCACTTTTCGAACCACTGGGTGAAAAATCTCTGATCAGCAGGGTGCTAATCCAAACACTGCTGCATCACAGCAGTCACATGGTGGTCCGATCAACAAAACAGACTTTATTTACCCAGCAGAGTCTGATCATGACGTGGTGGCAGCCATCTGCCAAACCTTTTTCTATGTTTAGTGGAACAAACATGCCCCATGCCCATAACTCAGCATATCCAAATGATTAAATCCACTTTTCATCTGCAAAAAAAATAAATGTTCACCTCCTCTATAAACACAATCAAATTAATTGGCATTTATCTTTTCACTAAAAGACAAACTGATTTGGAGTAAAAGGAGAGAGGGAAAGTGCTGTGATTAAAAGCACTCGTGTCTGTTGATCATATAAAAAGTGATTATGAGCTTTAAGATGCAGATGTCTCTCAGCAGACGTTCTTTTGCATTAACAGCTTGAGCCCATGTGGTGTGATAGTCTAATAAATGTCTCGCCTACAAGCATTCAAATGAGGCTAATTGTATGATTTGTACTAATGCATAAAATTGCAGATGATATTTTTTTGTCCATTAGTCGCATCAGAATGCATGACTAAGAAATGATTAGACTATTATACAAATTTGGATGAAATAAATCAATGAATCCAGCTTTGCTCTTGAATAACAGTGTTTCTAGCTCAAAACTTTATCTTGCACACTCTGTGATTCTTTAGATCGTTTAACATAAGAAAGAAAGAAAGAGCTGAAGCCAGGGCTGACTGATAGTGAGTGACAGTGCGACAGTGCACCACAGGAGAACAGCCTTAATACCAACACATTTCTGAAGAACCCCTGAAGGTCTGCAGCTAAAAATAAAAACAGGGCTAACTCCCCGATGCAGCACACCTGTCCTCCACTCTGTTTATCCCCGGACTTTCTTTATCTCATGTCCCAAACGTTGAAGAAAACACAGAATCAAAAACAAAAAGGCTATCGTCACTATTTTATCCAAAAAGTCAGATCTTAAATGTTAAAGTTGTAACAGATCAACTCTTGAATGATGAATGCCCTTTTCATGAACACAGACTGTCAAAGCTATATATATGATCTGCAAAGATTAGTTTAGATGAAAAAAACAAAAAAACAACCGCATCCTTGAACGACAGAGATGAGAATCGTAGGCAGAAGGCAGAAGGCAGAAGGGAAAGGAAGGGAGGGACATCCAATCTTTGACCATCCACCGGAAGGCAAAGCAACTCCTGGGGAAAGTGATTAGACCTGCGCTCACAACTGAAGGCAACATAGCGATTGGCCAAAAGAGCTCATTTGCATGCTCCTCTCATCTCCCACACAAGTCTGAGGAAGCACCCGTGGATAAGGTCACCGGTGTCAGTCTGCCTGTGTGCCAGACGAGAGTGTAAACAGATCAAACGCACAACAGCTGTTTAGGCGAGTGCAGAGGGAGGCCGTGTTCCTGATCATCTGGACAATGATGACCTCAGATTTATGTCAGAGGTGATGGACATTCTGGCAGTGAGATGTAGGGATATCTGACAAGTTACATAACAAAACCTTCATTGTAAAAAGGCATCAATCTAATGTGCATGTGGTGTTGGGGGAGTATTGAGTTTGCAGCTATTTTATTCTATCCAGGTTTTATTATGTCATATTTTGGCAGTTTTATATTTTCTGTATTGTAGGCATTCAACTATTTCTCCTTAAACTTTGCCTTCTGTTATATCTAGTATACCAAGTGACACTTTAGTCAAGTGTCCTTCCATTTTTCACTGCCAACAGAGAACAACTTGTCTAAACTGAAATGACTTCTCAGGGAGTCAAAAATTTTCGTATTAATTTTTTCAAAACTTTCTTTTATTCAACTTAATTCATTCATTCAATAAAACTCAGTGGATCTTGGAGGTCAGAGAATTTGACCAACCAACAGAAAAATACTGTACAATAAAATAAAATGATTGATAATCAATCTAAAACCATTTAACTTAAAGCAGTAAGGAGAGATTTGTTAGAGTCACTGTGTAGCTGTGACCTTACTGCTAATGTCAGCTTGCAAACAATTCCACAATGGCAGTGCCAATATGCTGATACCTTTCAGGTGATCTGAAACAGCAATCAATCTACTCGAGGAACTATTCTTTAAAATACAAATGCCAACCTTGGGGAGCTTCAAATGGTATAGAAAAAGACAATAAGATCATTAAGATTCTTCTCATTCTAAATGTAAATTCAAATTTTCCATTTTCCAAATACATTTAGTAGATTTCTGTATATTTCACAGGAACTTTTGCAAAGTGTGCTAGCATCTATGTCACTAGAGTAAAAGCCAGCTAAACATTGAGTTGGTACAGTAGGACTCATTTTCTGGATAAATTGAATGTCTTTGCAATATAGCAGAGCAATCAAGCTGCATGCAATCTCTATTTGTTTTATATAAATGAAGCCAATGAGGAAGTGCAAAGAACTGCAGTTCTTTGAGTGTCCACTTGAGGCTGGCTGCAAAAGCTCAGGACGCTCCATTAGGTCCTATATTAAAATGCCTATTTTTACAGTTAAAATGAACATTGAAAACAAATTATTATCAATAGCTGTTATTAATTATTGGAAACACTGCACAAGGGGTGATTAAAAAAACTGTTTTGCCAGGAGGCTAAAGACCTGCGTGAAGTCCACTTCTTTGATTGTTAGATAGACCAAAAGTTAATGTATAGGCAGCATTGCCAATATGGGGACTACAGTAGTTAGGCTTCAAAACACCTCTTCAGAAACCAAAGGGTGAAGTCATAGAGACTACGTCCATGTTATATACAGTCTATGATAGCAATCAGTCCAATAGTTGTTGAGCTATTTCAGTCTGGACCAAAGTGTTTGATTGATCAAGTGATGACCTGCTGACTGAGTGACAGACAAAGAGCTGTGTAGCCTGAATAATTCCCTTTTATTCACCTTGTTAAAATAAAAACAAACAAACCTGCAAACTGAAGATGCTGAATTTTCCCACAACATATATATGGATTGCGTTGCTTCGGCTTTGCATGTAAGAGCTCATATGATGGAATTACCAAGATTACCACATTATCCACCTATGTCAAGAACAGGTACATTATTTTTATAGGGCTCTGCTCCTGTAGGCTAGCCATCAAAGTAGACACAGCTTTCACGTATCCTTTCTATTCTTTACAAATTCAAAATTCAACACACAAATCCACTTTAGGTATTTACTGGAGCTAGTCACATAGTCACAAGCATGAAGAGTTCTACATACGAGTGACCAGTCTTCATGACAGCTGACTCATCAATGGTAGTATTGTAATATCTGTAATATATATCAACAATAACTATATAACACACTTCAGTATTGATGATAATGATTTAATACAATGTGTATGAAATGTAGTTTTTTAAATGGATTTATCTCTCCAACATAACTAAAAGGGAAATATGAACCACATTGTATTCCATCTTCAACTACCAAGAGTTACTGTGGTAAAGTGATGCATTAGTCCATCCCCTGCCTTCAGTTAGTTCTTTATGCTCTCAGTGTTGTGCATGTTGTGTAATCAGGGTAATATAGCAGGCTGATAAAGGTTCCACAGCTTATTTTGATATAAAGCTCCACAGAATGCCACACGTGACAGGAGACCGGCTCCTTTTTCATCCTACAGCGGCATTAAATGTCTCAGTGCCATCTGCTGCTGCGAGAATTAAAAACTCTCCTTTTTAAAGATTGCCCGTTTTAATTGGTAAATATTTACTCGCAGGAGCTCTCGGCGGGCACACACGACTTCTAATGAAGCACTTTAAAGCCTGTGGGCTCTTGCTGCTTACTTTGAGTGTGGTTCTTAACTAATTCAACCTGCGCTTGAACTGTTGATAATTGTTGATAAGGCCCGGTGAAACACAACGCTAAACGCTGTGGTGAGACTGCAGCGCATAATAACTGTGCCAGCACAATAACCCTGTCACTGCTAACACTGATCCTTCCTCTGTGTCTTTGTTTGTGTGTGTGTGTGTGCAGTACTGAGTGGGGTTTGACATTGTACTGTAGATGCATGCATTTGTGAAGGTCTGTATGTGCAGCATTATATGCTTGTAGGGCTTGTAAACAAAATGGTTCATCAAATCTTCTTTGATAATATATTCGGTACATTTAAAATAGAATATTAGCTGCTTTCGACTGAGTCCCCAAAGATATAAGTTTGACAATATTTTAGGTTGGAAAAAAAAAAGAAATACATGAAAGTTCAGCAATGGTATGCAACATTTTGCAATGAATCACGACAACTCTCTTGGGAATCTGAAATGTTTCTGCAAGAAACTGCATGAAGGAATGCAGAAGAAGGTATCTGCCTTTACTATCTGAAGAATTGCCCTTTCTTTGGCTGCACACATTTCACAAGCTCATACACACACAAGACATTTGTCACTAAGTTATCATCAGAGCAGCTGGAATAAAAACTTTTGTAATTTTGCTTGACCCGACTGATATTCAAAGCATTGTTTGTATTTTTCTGTACATTCACTTTTCATATCCGGGTCCATGGATGTAGTGTACTTAACATCTACTTCTTTATGCGTGTGCATGTCTGTGTGACTGTGTGTGCATGTCTAAAACAGCCTGTATGTCCTTCCTTGTGCAGTACTTGTCTGTGTGAAAATGTGCATGTGCATTCATCTCTGCGTTAACTGACGTGTGTGTGTGTCTTTCTCGTAAGTGTGCTGCTGGATGTTAGCACTTGCATCCTAATGCACTCGGCTGTCTGTGTGTTTGTGTGCATCAATCTCTGCTGCAGCGGCAACCCGTTGCCTTGTATGCACTGCTCTCTATCCCTGACCCAGTACGCTGTGCGATCCTGCCTACAGCCTCATTTGTCTCCATCAGGGGACGGCCGAGGTTACAACTCACCAAAGCGCAGTATGTTTCTGGTGGATCTCCACACGTGATATTTGGGGGGTCGAGGGCCACTCGCAGGTACTTTGTCATGTCGGTGGCTTCTGGCTGACAGGCCATGTAGTCCCAGGCCAGGCCCTCCTCTGTGTAGATCTGAGACTTGCACACGTCATAGTGTCCCCAGGCCGCTGGGTAATGCTGCATGGCATGTGCCACGCTGGTGCACACCGCTTGTAGAGAGAACAATACGAGCCAAAACATTGCTGGTTCTTTGTGGCTGCTGTGGAACGTCTTGTTTTTTCTTTACAGCTGCTTCTTGGTCACAAATATGACAATATTGCTGGGAATTTTCTACACTAACTGCAGCTTTGCGAGTGGCAATTGATCATTGGGGAGCTGTGGCAGCATGTTGCTACCTACTTTTGAGTGAGCAGCTTCAGGCAACCATTAGCCCTATTCACTTCTTTTTTTCTCCAATTTTTGCCACTTCTGCCTGGCTGATGAGGGTTGTCAACAAGTGAGCTTCTTTACAAGTGTTGAGCGTTGATGAAAGGGTCAACAAGCGGTCAGATGTGATGTGCAGAGCAGGGTGACACTCCTCATAAGTCAGCGGCTGTCAGACGCCCTGAGCTCGCTCTCCTGTGGTTTTTGCCACAGGCAGCATCCTTAAGGAGAGAAGAAAAAAAATACCTTAAATAGACCACAAAAACACATAAAACAGCTGAAACACAGTATTAAAATTTTAACAATGCTTCAACATGGTTTAAGGGCACTGGGATAAGTAGTGCTTCTCAGTGCACACACACAAACACAATGCGAGCCTCCACTGTTTGTATCAAGCCCTCAATAATAACCTTGCCAAAATCACTATATACAATTCAAATGGGGCTTGTTCTCCAAAGCCTAATCTCCATTTGATTTTCATACAAAAAGGCTTATTTCCATGTGTCAAGTCACGACATTTAAGTTATTGCTTTTCACCCGACTCTTGCTCCCCGCTAGCCGAATCAGGAGTTGCCTCTGTCCCAAAGCCTTTAGAGGCATTTGGGAAATATTAAAGTAAAATTGGGAGACAGAAATGGTCTATTTGAGGGATTGTACGTTTCTCAGAGCTATCACAAGCCATCAGTCAGATGGCCTAACTCGTCAGGTAATGGTTGCCTGGCAGCAGTCAGTGGAGACCGGCACAATCTCAATGTCTCAGGTAAAAAAGAAAAAGGGTGTGTTTATAGGGGAAATAAAATGGAGCAGCTATTTACAGCTGCCGCCAACAGAGTAATGACACTGTAAATAGGAGTTAAGTTACTGTTGAATGTCAATATGCTCTGATGGCCTAAGGTTTTGGCTTTGAGAAAATTTAATGTTATTCCTATGGGTAGGTGTACATTACCTTTTAACCATTGCCCTCTGCAAGCATGAAAAATGGTCCTCTATTAATGCAAAGTCTAAGTTTGTAATGTGACATCATATTTAATCCAACACAGACTTAAATAATGCCTAATACAACCAATCTGGTACATGCAGTTGAACCTCTAACTTTCCGGTCAGCAGATTCATTCTCTTCCCCCCGGGCTACATCCGACCCTCTGCGACCAACGCTCACCACTGAAATATAGATTTTTCTTTTCCAGGTAAGCAGCGGTTTGAAACATGTGGAGAGTCTTTTGTGCTCAGAGGAAAGAGCTACTTTTTTCAATTTGTGTCAAAAGATTAGAGTTTTTTTGTTATCAAGAGATAATAGAGTCAAATCAAATTAATGAAGGAAAAACAATTAATTATGAAAGGACAAAGATTTAGATGAGATGGGGTGAGTGAGTCGGTGTAGCTCTCTCTTTCATAAACACACACACAGGCAGATCTCTGTTCTCCCTGCCGACATATGGAGGCATTAGGATTCAGTATTTTAACTTGGCCGTCTTGTCTCCGACTGAAAATTGAACCAATTTTAACGGGTTTGCCCACATTCAAACCAATTACTGCTTTCCACCCAACATAATGTCCTTTTTTTTTCTTTCTTACAAATGACTACAGGCTTGAATACATTCCAACCAGAATGAAAGATCCGAGCCTGAGAAAAGATCTGCACTGCTTTTCAGCCTGGACAGACCCCTTCAAAGTGAGCCCTGTCAGGAGGTACGGGTGGCAGGCTTCATTTGACGGACCTCTGCTGGGCAAAGGGAAGAAGCTAGTGGAAGAATGTTGGCTCTCTAAATGTGCTCGTGTCAATCATTAAGACTCCGAAGAAGGGGCCATTTACAAATTTGATAACGCCGCTGGAGCTCATGAGCGATGAATACGCCATACCTTTCAGTGGGGATGCGTGTATCACATTTCATGAATATAAATGTCAGTCCCAGATCACAGATGTGTCATGGGAGGGACCACTCTCATCTCACACACACACACACACACACACACACACACACACACACCTGGATACGCCTCCATTTCATAACACCGAGGTTGACTTTCATTATAAAGGCAGTCAAATTAGGTACCGGCGGCGGGGTGGTGGAGGTCGCTTATCTTATTTTTATTTAATAGGGAACATTCAAAGCTAATAAGCGACAGCAAATGGAGCTAACCAGGGGAATATTGGATTTAATTCATAGACACCTAGAGTAATGAAATCTATACAGATGAAAGGACAGTGTCAGGAAGCTCTGTGGACACGTACCATTTAACATCAGAGCACTACTAAGGTGCAAGTGAAGGGAAAGAAAGCATGAAGTTTAATTTTTTTTTAAAAATCTGCTTCATGCTCCAGGGATTATTTCTGCATAAAATAAGTGTTCTGACACCATTTAGGAAGCTAATTCATCTTTAACAAAGCTCTCTGCAGAAGATTAATTAACCTATGAAAATAACTGTGATTCATGTCATTTATAAGTGCTATCCTACCTCACACAAAGGCGTCAATAATTCATAACAATTACACAAACTAAGTCACAAATGCAATATGGTATAAGTGAAGCATCCTTGTTTCCCTGTTCCTACATCTACACACCTCCTTTGGCGCTCAAAAATTCAAGGAGAAGCTTGGAAATGTCATAATTTCTCCGAGAAATATATGAGGTCAGATTCTATATTAAAAGTCATCAATATTTGAGCAGCTCTCCGTATGCAGGGAGGGAGCAAGAGCTTAAAGCTGAGGGTGACCACCTCTCTCTTCCCCCTCTCTCTCTCACTCTCTCTCTCCATCTCTCCATCTCTCCATCTCTCTTTTCCTTCACTTGTTTTTGTAGCCTCTGAAACACCCCCTTGTGTCCGCTTGCATTCCATCCCCTGGGCAGCTCAAGCATGGCAGAGTGTTTTAAAAGTCAGCGTGCAGCCGTGCCCCGTGGCTTATATTGGTTACAAACTCCCTGCTAGACTCTTAAAAACCCACGGCGGATGTATTTTTTTCTCCATTCACTTTATACTAATCCTGCTAAAGTGTGGCTTTGCTCTCAGTCTCCAAGTGTGGCTTTTTGTGATCCAAAACCTCTGGCTCGAATACAGGGCGGCGTTTAGGGGAGCTGTCCATGGTGCTGAAATACAGGACCCTGTACTGCATATCCACAGGGCCAGAACTGTAATTGCTGACGTCTGTGGTTGCAAGATGACACTAATCACAGTAAGCTAAATAATTTTAAAAAAGGAACCTAGACTGACGCTCCCTGTGTGGTCCATTTAGCAACAATTGCTATTTTTTGCCCTTCCTTTCAGCACCTATTCTGGATTTGGATGCACACAAATACAATACTGCCTTGTTATGTTTATTGATCTTGCAGACTTCCAACCAATTACTTCTGATCCACGGCCAGTTTAAACAGACTGATGCTTTGTAGCTGGCTGATGACTGCAACAATAAACAGGTTAATGCTTCCAACATTCATCGAGCCAAAAACCAGCCCTTCCATATGAGTCACAGTGGAATCGACTGGCAAGCAGAAGCATGTCTGTTCTGGCATGCGTTTGTGTTCTTATTGTCTCTCTTGTCCTTCATCCCCCCCTCTATTTTTCCTCTCTGTCTGTCAATAGCAACAATAGATCCGTAAGCACATATAACATATAAGTCCAGAGGGGTTGCACTTTTGACCTCCTCAACTGGAGACACTTTTTATTTACAACAAGGACCGGCTGTGCTCTGCTGCAAAAAAGCTCTTTTTCCTCCCAGCTAGGATGTGGTTGATGTGGGTACAATGTAAGGGTCTCTCAGTGTGGAGCCCACACAGATTCAGGGATACAGCCTTCACAACTGCCTCACATGAAACCTGCCGCCATACATTATTCAAATCCCTCTCCTGAAGCACTAACATGCAAAAAATGCAGAGCATGTTGCAAACATTTTAAAATGCCATGACATGTAACATTCATGCAATCAGAAACACGGGACTGGCAGAAAGGAAAAAGTCCAGTCGGTTTTTTTTATATGGTCGAATAGATGATTTTAATTTAGAACTTTCAGTAATCCAGACATTGACAGTCAGTTCTAGGTCCGATTTTTGCGCAGAGGCGAGACACACCTCATTCTGACTTTACTGACCTGCTGCGCAACAGGTTAAACTCTCATTATTCCTTCAAGGATAACGAGAAAACTTCCAAAATGACAACAGCTTTCAAGTATAAATATACTGTGTAAACACAGATTCATACGCTCTTACTTCCTGCAAAATAAAGAACACCTCCAAAACGAGGCTAAAGGTAAACTAAAACGCTGTGGATACATGCCACAGCGATTCTTACTCCATTTCTTTGTGGCTGCTCATTCCTTATTCATTTAACCCACTTCAAACCTGATTACAGCTAACGTTCCGCCCATGAAGCAGCCCACTGTAATTACCCCATTATCGCCCATTTAGTCATGATTGTCATCATCACACAAGTGACGGTTATAAAGAAGGAAATTACACAAACAGAATGCTCAAAACACAATACTCACATTAAAATGCGCTCCTGGGACGACAAGCTCATTCAACAAGTTATATGCAGAAGAGAGTAGCTGCAGAAGGGTTTTCCCCGCGCCTTTCACTGATTCCACTTTATCTGATTTATTCTAATTTCGCTCCAGATGGAACAATAAAAGCGAAACGTGGGCAGTCGCGCGTTCACGCGGAGAGAACCACGTTTTCCTTCTTTAAACTTTTCTATAAACTTTTTTTCCCCTCACTAAAGGAGCATTATTTCCTTTCGAATAACGCTCCGGGACTCTTTCATATACAATCCTTTTCCGTTCCGCGCTCACAAACGCCGTCGAGAACCGACTGGTTTCCACGCGAGCTGTTGGGCTTTACGCAGCGCTGCTCCTGGCACTGCGTTCATTGGAATGGCGCACAACAAACACTTCAAGAACCCGTTAAGGGGATTTACAGCCTGGTTGCAAATTCGTAAGAGCCCATCAACGCGCATTTCCACACGTCCCATTGGAGAGAAACTCTTTGGAGAGACTGTTTTCTTTGCCCAGCCGAGTTGTGGACGGGAGAGGAGGGGAGCGATAAGCGATCTTTCTCTAATGGAGCGACTATGTCCAGTTTCAAACGAGCGTTCCGCCGGGTCCTAAAGATTTCTGGCACCGAAGTCTCAACTTCAACCGTTGTTCTCAAGCGGATGTTTAACTCATCAGGCAGCCATTGAATAGTAGACTCATTTATTATCCTGAGTTTTTAATTTTTTTTTGCCACTTGGGCTGAAAATGTATTTATAATGCAACAAAGCAAGTTTCTCGCAGTGATGATTGAGGAAGGATGCTCCAGGAAATGTTTATCTTTCACTCTCCTTTTCTTAAAGGAGCAAATTCTGAACACTTAGCACGTCATGGTTCGATTCGTAATCGGAGGCTTATTTGCAGTGGCACTAAATTGGATTCTTCTATTTTAAGTTACTCGATAATTGCTCATAAATAAGCTGCATCGCTTTCTGCAGCGGCTTCCAACAGCTGCAAGCCCAAATGCACTGATGTCATTTTGGAAAACAAAAGAGCTAAAATACTGTGAGGGTGATTGCAAACGTTCACCTGAAATACGGTATAATACATCTACCACCTGCATCCCTGCAAAGTCTAGCCCATGAGCACACTCGTTGATGTTTTTATTATCACATTTCAGGAGGCACTAAAACGACAAGGGATGCATGTGGAGAGTAAATCCACAGAAACTTAACAGAGGCGAGTCTCCAGGGTAGATAAAAACACAGTTCAGCACAATTAAAATGCAGCCGAAGTTGCAGGAATACATTCGAACAAGAGGCAAAAAAAATACGATCAGAATATTTTTGCTTGTTTGTAATCGCCCGCAGGTTATATACAAATAATTACTATTACAACACCGCCTCAGGACTCCGGTTAAACAAACAAACAACAACAACAACAAAAAAGACATCTTACCTTCTATGTAAGAATGCGAGGGATTAGTAATTCGCTTGCCAAAAAAAGGAAAAGGAAAAAAACTCCCCTGGCCGGAGTTGTTGCTGTAATTATTCGGTGGGTTTGCAGGCAGTGCTGGAAGAATAACTACAGTGAGGTGCGTCTCCCGGGCTCCCTTGGCGAGGAGTCATAGATGTCACCCTCTCCACTACAGGGTGCCAAGCTGCACGGCAAACAACCGCGGTGACAGGTCGCTTTGAACACGCATTTTAATTGTGCTGTAATGCCAACTGGTGGAGATCGCACGATAGGAACAACCGCGCCCACGTGAAGGTCACAGCAGTAATTGAGTAGAACGTTTTCCATGTCGGTGCAATAGAGGTTTAAACTCAGTTTATCAGTTCATCTCTAAGTCCCTGTTTTCTTCAGTCGCTCTTTTTTTGGAGGGTGTAACAAGACTGTTCACTCAAAGACACAGAAAACAGGGTTGCTATTTTCCTGTTACCTTTTTTTAGTGTTCCTACATTATAATCTGCCTGATGTACTAACTGCATGTTCAGCACCATGGACAGCTCCTGCTCCCTGTACTCAACCCTGCAGTGATTTTTTAGTGGAACAAAAGTCAAACTTTGCACACAAAAACTAGTCTTTTCATGACTTTGTAACTAATGTCCAATGTTCAATTCATCATCAATGTGGTTTATGACAGTTTAAACTATTATGAGACTTCTGTCCGTCCCTCTGAGGCCCCTCGTCTACCTTACATTTAGTCATTTGGTTATCTTTCCCCCCATATTCTTATGTCCAGCATCGAATTATGTATTCATTTTCAAGGGGGTGCAGTACATATATGGAAAGATTGGAATCAACCATCTTGTTTTGAAGGAGCCCATTTGACCTTTCTTTCTTCTTCCTTCAATCTAACCCTTCCTGGAAACCAGAATATACTTGTCTAATTTCCCAACCTCCTTACTTTTCTCTTCAACACTCTTTTATTTAGCAGAATGTACGCTCTGCAGCTCAATGTTTAATATGCCCCCCAAAATAGAAGCGCAGCCCGTATTGATTTCTTTTTAATTAATATGCAACGAAACCCTTTGTAATCCCATTTAAAAAAAAAAGTGGCAATGCCATTTCTGTTCTGATAAAGTCAGAATTGGGGTCTGGACTGGGGCTGAATGACAACAAGTCTCCGGTTCCTGCTGAGGTAAAGTGGCTCACATCGTCTGAGAGGGTTCAGTCTTTGCTTGGAGCGTATGCTGCTCTTGACATTTCCATTAAATCCTTCCTCCTGGAAACACGATCATTTGCCCTGACACTCACATACATGACTGTGCTGACTCCATAGATAGATTGATAGATAGATAGATGGATAACAGTTTGTCCTATATTTTAATGGATAATGACGGTAACACTATAGGACTACAAAACATTCATATGAAGTGCTGATGCACTCATTGATACCATATACTGTCTTCAACATGCTCAAAATTACAACTCTGCCATGCTGAGGTTAACATGTTTTTTGTTCCTTTGTAAGATTTTGGTTTATCATGTTAACTTCATTATATTTTCTAATTACCATTCAAAACAAAGCATAACGAAAGCTGCTGGGATGGGCACATTTGTGAGTATTTAACAAAGACTGTGTGTATGAAGTGGGTGTAGCTTGTCGTTGCAAAAGTGAAGCTGACACAGCTGACCTTAAACTTGCAGTATTTCTAAAGGACAGACAAGGGAGACTTCAGTGGCTGCCGTGTCAACGAGGACAGAGAGGGAGCAATGCGTATCCAAATGTTGTCACTTTTGATTCCAAAAAACAAGATGGCAACAGTCCAACTCAAGAAGTAGAGGGTTGAAACAGGTGGCACTGTGTGGAGCAGTACTTCAAGCTGTGGGGCGTGCCCCCGCAAAGTGGGGTGTGATAACATAAAAAGGGAGGGGGTTCGGGTGAGATGACAAATCACCACAAGTGATTAAATTCGTAACAGTTATCAATAGTTGTAGATCATTTGTCTCAAAAACACAAACGCTAGACTTACACAAGAGGAAGTCAGAGGGCCACCAAGTCTATGAGTTGATTTTTCAGTGGACAGTAAATGTCTGAACTAAATACAAGCTTCAGCTTCAGCTGACTGAAAGTGGTGGATCAACATTGCTGTTTCAGTGAGTGTAGTAGTTCTAGTTTGATGTTGTACATTTGAAAACGGGCTTTTTTTCTCCCTTTTTTGAGTTAAAGTTTAGCATTTCTGCTAACTGGTCCTCTATTTCCTACATTATGTTAGTGTGTTTTAAAAAATGCTTTTCCAACTTTTCATATGAGCTTAACACCTTTCCTCAAAGTAAAATGGTTTGGTTATTGCAGGGTTTCATCTTATACTGTATTTTGCTACACTACAGTACTGTAACTTCTGTTACTTTAATTTCCGTTATCTTAACTTCCTTGTTAACACATAAATGTATCTAAATAATTGGTTTCCATGCTAACATCTACTATATGCAGGTTATTAGTGTCCAGGAACAGGTGTGCCCCAGTTCAGATAACACACAATTGAACTGCTGTGACTGTTTGCTTGGATCAGTGACTTTTCACATGAAAACCTTAACAGTGTTTCTTTCTCCACAACTATAGGTATGTTTTTTGGGGCATGGATATATGAATTATAGAAAGCACGTGTGGTAAATTAATTTCTTTCCAACATGGCACTGAGAGAAAACCCTTTGAATGTTTTGTTTCTCCACAACTAGCAGCAGCGTTGGAGAGTAAATGGCTCAGAGACAATCTGGAGAAATACATCTGTGCTTTGTAAACAACACATCATATGGTCACATCAGCTACACACGCCTCACAGGAGGAGAAATTCACACAATCGCAAACCCAACTTGTGTGTGAAAATTGACCGTGGTGTCCTTCCTTATTTTTTTTTCTATTTAGATTCCAACAGTAGTAGGCTACCAGAGCAGTGTCACACTAAGTTCATTACATGTCTGTGTCTACGAACTACAGTAGTGCAGCATGGTGGGAATACAATATTCTGCATGGGCCGGTTCTCACCGTCCACCTCCGGTCAGAGGTGGTGGGGTCGGCTGGATGAATCCACAAAGCCTGCTTCAAATCACATCAGAGAGGCAGAAATTCCTCCATTCCTCCATTGACACTCCACACTTTTTTTATTTTTTCTGTTGGCTTGCCGCGGTGTACGGTGAAGATCCAGAGGTGGAGTCTGCCCTCTCACCCTCCGCCTGTCCTCTCCCTCTGTGCCACCGAGAGCTCGGGCTGACAGAGATGGAGGGTTTGCTGTTTGATTCAGCTCCCGGGGGTCTATTGATAGTTTCAAAGTGGAGTCCACCTGCCACTGCTTTAATCATCCGTGACCCCGGCTGCATGTCGGAAGACCGCAGAGGGGGGGCGGGGGACAGGATTAGGAGCTGTGTTTGTGTGCGAGCAGTCAAGAGAGAAGAAGAGACAGAAAAAGTAGACCCGAAGAGATGAGATCAGGGGAAATAATGAGTCTATTGAGCCACTTTTCCACCTTTGAGTGTTTTATGTGACTTTAAATTTTCTCCACTCATCATCCAGATTTGGAATAACCCTGTTTTTTTTACTCCATGCAGCTTCAGGCTTGTCTTTTCTCCCTCTTTGAGAAGCATTTCTATCTCTTAAAACGTTTTTAAAGGTGTATTTAATCAGATTTTTCTCCAGAGGTGGAGCAGACGGAATCAGCATACAGGCACAACTTATGGCTGCTAAATTAATTCAATTTATTCCAAAGCCTTTCTTAAGGCCAAGGTTGTAATTATGGCATGCAATTAGAGGGGGTATAAATATTAGATCACTTCCCAATTCCCTGTGAAAGTTAACCCAAAAGTTGTTGTTTTTTCAGGTATTAGTAATTTACATACGGATCTCTGAGTGCTCCTGGCTGTATTTAAAGGAGCATTCACAAAGCACTGACAAACATCACTCATTCATGATGCACTTCAGGCGAGAAGGTTGTTACAGCTGATCTCACTAGATTCCCTCTGATAATTGAAGTGAAGTTTCACCTTTAAAGGGACAAGTTGAGCAGCGATGTAGTGGCATATGACAGTGTAGCTGTTCACCCTG